CCAGTCGGTAATGTACTTCACTGCCCAATAGTCCATTTCATTCCATTTCTGGGTAGTTTGGCCACCGTCCTAGTGTAGTTACCTATGGTGATTACCTCAGCAATTGACTCAGACTTTTTGGTAATGAAGAAGGCAGGACTATGGGTTGTTGACAACTTATTTGATATAATAAATAAGGGTGAAGGTGTTTGTTGAGTAACCACAGGCGGGGTCCAGCATCTGGAAATATCTGAGCCTTGCAAGGGACTCAAGTTACCAAGGTTTTCTGCAGAATGCAGAACAACGATGATAACTTATGTTCTCTAGATTTTTCAAATTCACCTGTCACTTGACTGAGTGAATGTCCCTGACGTCAGGGAGTGGAAATATGTTACTTGTTAAAAAAAATTATTTATTGTCATGTATGGGGCACCTGAGTGGCTCAGTCAGTTAAGTGTCTGCCTTCAGCTCGGGTCATGATCTCAGGGTCCTGGGATCGAGTCCTGCATCAGGCTCCCTGCTTGGCAGGAAGCCTGCTTCTCCCTCTCCCACTCCCCCTGCTTGTGCTCCCTCTCTCGCTGTCTCTCTCTCTGTCAAAGAAATAAATAAAATCTTTTAAAAAATTACTTATCACCATGTAAATGCAACACAGAGGATCAAGTTAACAAAAATAATGTGTGTCTTTAAATTTGAAAATTGGCTTTTCTATCTCCTCCCCATTAAAACTAACACCTTTAATTTATAGATTGGGCCTAAAAACTCACTTGTGTCCCATTAAATCCCATCTTAGCCCTGGGGAAATTGATCTATGTATACCATATTGACATACTCAACACATTTGAAACAAAATTCATTCCCCCCTTTAAACTTCCTCTCTTTCCCAACTACACATTTCTTTCAATAGAGTTACCATTTTAATCTCCAAACCTAGAGTTCTCAGTGGGATCTCTGATTCTTCCACCACCTTTTCCTGTTGTCAGGAGCCACTTGGTCATGTTGCCACATCATGGTCAAGTAGACTGGCTAAGAATCTGGGCTCCATCATTAGACCCATCCTGGTGTGATGCCTGGCTTTACCACATTCAGCTGTGTGGCATGAGGCCTGTTAATCTTACTTTACTTCCATTTTCTCATCTTTAAAATAGGAAAAGTAATAGTTAATTCTTCATAGAGTTGCTGTGATAATTAAATGAGATAATGTTCAGCACAGTGCCAGCATATAGTAAGTACTTGTTCTGCTACTAGTTTTATTATTTTTTTAAAGATTTTATTTATTTGACAGAGAGAGAGACAGCGAGAGAGGGAACACAAGCAGGGGGAGTGGGAGAGGGAGAAGCAGGCTTCCCGCCGAGCAGGGAGTCCGATGCGGGGCTCGATCCCAGGACCCTGGGATCATGACCTGAGCCGAAGGCAGACGCTTAACGACTGAGCCACCCAGGCGCCCCTACTTTTATTATTATTGCAAATAGTCCAGAATGTGTTCCTTCCTCTCTATTTTTATTGTAACTGCTCTATTTTAAGCTCTTATCACTTTGGCCTGGGTTACAGATATTGATGTCTTATTTTACTCTGCTTCCAGATTTCCCTCTCCTCCCTGTCCTGTAGGGCTCTGCCAGAGTTGTCTTCCTTAAATACCACATAGCTCTCCAGCTCAGAATCCACTTCCTAATACCAATACCTATGGCTTCCAATCCAACTTCTCTGGGAAGCTTCCAAGGCCCTCAAGAATTCACCCTGCTCAGCGTCTGTCCAGGTGTAGAGTAGTAACTGAAGGCATAAACTCTGGGGCTCCACCATTGCCTGACTGTGTAACCTAAGGTAACTGTGTCATTTTAGTCATTTCAAAGTGTAAACTCCCTGTTCAGGCTATTTCTTCACTCTCAAGACCTCTCTCTCCCTGATTTCTTTCCAAGATGGCTTCTGAGTGTAGGGGGAGCTTACATATCCTCATAGGAGCAGGGCACAGAACTTTGGCTCCCCTCTGATTTTGGATATCCTGTGTCTGGTCCTGCTGTGTCCTATGTTGGTTTTCTGAGGTTCAGATGGTCCCACCTTGCTCTCCAAAGCTCATGCTGGACCCCTCCTTTCCTCCACTGAAATCCATGGTCCTTCCCCTGCAGCTTCACATAGCCTGACCCCAGGCCTCTGCCAGTCTGCTGGATATTTCAGTACGTTTGTGTTGTGCTGGTTTAAAGGAGCTTCTGCTTTCATTAAATACCACACACCAGCTATGGGAAATGATGGTGCTATTTCAGACCTTCATACTCCTTAGCAATTTCTAAACTACCTATGGCCCCATATTGCTCTGGTGCCATGTTGAATATGGAGTTTCTCTGAGAGGTTTATGATTTTTCCCAGGCCTTGCCTTGAGAACTGAGAAGAAACTCCCTGCATTGGGAGTTGCCTAAGTCCATCTAGATGATTCTACCATCCTTGATTCCTCCTCTCCTCTGTTTTGACCCCAAGGTAGAGTTGGGAGAGTGGGAAGATAACTCATACCTCAAGTCTTGCCATACTCTCTCCTTCTTTTCTCTCCCTTCCAGGACCAAAAGTTTTTCATCTCCCTTTCCATCTAGAAGGTCCTTCTCTTATGTCATATTTTCTTATTTTGTACTCCAGCCTCATGGCCTAGTGTTAAGGGCTAAATGACCTAAGGGAACCAAATAGGAATCAACAAGCAGGGATAATATGTTGGAAGGTATTCCAAAGTCATGCTGTCTCAACTGTGTATCTCAACTGTACCTGAAAAGACTTGCTTCTTGCCTCTGTTCAACCATACTCTATCCATCCTTTCCATGCAAGGCATTTATTTCACATTATCCTTGAGGCATTCTTTCTCTACTCCTTCCCACTCCAGTCAAAACCCATTTTTTCAAGAATATCTATGTAGATCTCTCAAACTCTTTATCTGATTTCTCTAAGATATTCTGTTTCTGAGCATTACATTGTCCATACTAATTGTTCTCCAATTGTTTCATGGGAATTAATTTTTTTTTAATTGTAAGCTTCTTGGGGGAGAAGAGACCATGTGTCACCCCATAAGACCTAGCACAGTATTAAATAAATAGTCATTAAATATTGGACTGACTGGTTAAACACTAGTGACAAACTACTCAGGGGAGGTCATCACGACTACCCCTCTCCACTTTTGTCATATCCTGGGCTAACATTTATTGAGTCCTTAGTGTACACCTCACACCATGCTAATATGCTCTATTTACATTGTCTTATAAAATTCTTTCATCAACTTATGATGTGAGTACCATTATTATACCAATTATACCCATTTTATAGATATGGGAACTGAGGTTTAAAAAAGTTAAGCAATTACCTAAGGTCACATGATAGTAAGGAGCAAAATCAGAATTCAAACCCAAGTCTGTCTGATTCCAATCCCACAAACTTAAACTATACAACTGCCATTGGTTAGTTGTCCAGCATGAACTTTTGTCACAGTTCTGTCTAGTTACTTCTTCAGGATGAGTGAACATTAATTCATGTTGCCAATGACTACACGTTTGCTGTCCTCCTCAGGTTTATATTTTACTTCCCTTCTATCTTGAGTAGCAGAATTTTGTTCTTCACTTGTGTGCTCTTTTTTCCTCAGGTCTTCCCAGATCTGATTTTGCAGACCATATTTCTTCTCTTGTAAAAAAAAAATGGTATGAATAATATAATATGGGACACCTGGCTGGCTCAGTTGGTAGAACATGCAACTCTTGATCTCAGGACTCTGGGATTCCAAGGCCCTCAAGAATTCACCCTGCTCAGCGTCTGTCCAGGTGTAGAGTAGTAACTGGGCATAAAGCTTACTTTTTTAAAAAAAGGAAAATATTATTATATCTCTTAATTTCATCATCTTAGTAACCTTAGGGACTTGACGTTATTCTTATCAGATGTAGGCAAGAGAAGACAATCACTTATCAAAGAGGAATTCAGGGGTGCCTGGGTGGCTCAGTCGGTTAAGCGGCTGCCTTCGGCTCAGGTCATGATCCCTGGGTCCTGGGATTGAGTCCCGCATTGGGCTCCCTGCTCGGTAGGGAGACTGCTTCTCCCTCTCCCTCTGCCTGCCTCTCTGCCTACTTGTACTCTCTCTCTCTAATAAATAAATAAAAATCTTTAAAATAAAAAAAAAGAGGAATTCATCAGCTGAGAAATTGTCATGTAGACACCAGCTGAATAAGACATGCACAAGAACTATGAACAACTTGATTTTATCCCCCTGAGATTAACTTTCTTTGTGGTGGTGAAAGGAATTTTTATTCAGAACTTGTAAAAAGGCAAACTGCAACCATAGCATGGTTGGCAAGTCTTAGAAAATGTTTAAATATAACAGATTTTGCTTTTTAAAATATTTCTATAATGAGCATATATGTCTTATACAATAAATGACAATAAGTGTTTTAAAATGAACTGTTGGCTAACACATAGCAGGATAGAGAGCCACAGGCTATACTGTGTTCTAGCTGAATCGACACTAGCATGAGTCCAGGTGATTAGCTCAAACCAAAAGTGGCCATAGGTGAGTCTTAACCCAAACTGAAAAATTCAAAGTATATTGGGCTAGAGGGTAAGTTGCAGGTACAAGTCACTACCGAGTGGATCTTCTTAATAGTTAAAATGTGGTTAATATACTGATCTTCTACAAAATAATATAAAAAATTCACTATCTCTGTGATTACTTGTCTTTTTTACTACCCACCAGATGTGTGAGTGGGAGATGGAGGAAGTAGTAGGACTAAGAATGGGGTTCCTGAAAGCAGCTGTGTATAATCACAGCTGTGTTCTAAAGGCTCTGGGTGATTCTTTCTGAGTTTATGACCAAGGGCACAGGCTTGCATGACAGGAGTTTGTGGGGTTTTTTGTGTGTCATTGTATTATTCTTCACTGATGCTTCTCTATTCTTCCCCAGGAAGCCAGTGGCATAAGATTTATTATATTGAAAGGGTATGAGAAATTACTGGCTCTAAGAAGTTAAACACCCACAATGAGAGATCCTTGTTCAGTTTCAGTGTTTATAGTTTCAGGTGCTGAGAATACAGTGATGAATAAGATACTACCCCTGTCCTCAAGGAGTTAAATCTGCAGTGAGAAGACAGACTAGAAAACAGATTACAAGATAATATGGTAAGTGCAATATGGAGGATATTTACAAGGTGAATTGCAATACAGAAGGGTAACCCAACCCAGCCTGAAAGGGTAGGGGTATTAGAATCATGGAATGCTTTTCAAAGATAAGCTTTGAGCAGCGCTTGGGTGGTACAGTCAGTTAAACATTCCACTCTGGGTTTCAGCTCAGGTCATGATTTCAGAGTCATGGGATCAAGCCCCACTTCCGGCCCCGTGCTCAGTGTGGAGTCTGTTTGAGACTTTTTCCCTCTCCCTCTGCCCCTGCCTTCCACTCGTGCTCTCTCTCTCTCTCAAATAAACAAATAAATCTTTAAAAAAAAAGAAAAAGATAAGCTTTGAAAGTCAAGTAGGAGTTGTATACACAAGGTTAAGAGTAAGGTAAGAGCAGCATCAAGAGTCCCACAGGGAGAAAACTGTAAGTAAAGGAATGGAGGTACTTGGGGACCTAGGTATAGTTCCATATAACTGGGATCTCAAGTAAGAGCAGAAGGTATAGCAGGGGATGAGGCTTGTGACATAGGGAATATCAGAGTCTGGCTTTATGAAAAATTTACTAATGGAGAATTACACAGTATGCATAGTAAATATTAATAGAGAAAGAAGTTAAAATCAGAAAAAAAAACAAGACAGTGGATCTAAATGAAAGTGGCTCTGAGATGGGCTCTGGGAGCCAGGAGCAGCCAGGCATGGGCCATCTCACAGAGGATTTGCCCCTCTTATTCTTCAAGCTTCTTGTGTTTCCAGTTCAGCCATTTTTATTTGCCAGTCCCATTCCTATGTTTGGTATGGTTATTTACAGAAGGCAAAGGGAAAAGTGAATTAATGTAGAGGATGAGGAGAGAGGTTATAAAATAAATATTTGAGGAAGTGACTCTCCATTTGGATGTCTAACTGACATCGCAAAGTTAACATATCCAACCTGAACTCCTGATTTACCCCCGCCGACCGCCCCCACAAATTTGCACTGCCTCTTGGTGATGGCAACTCCAACTTTCCAGTTCCTTAGGACTGAAGTCTTAGAGCCCATCCTTCATTCCTCCCTTTTCATCATATTCCATACCCAGTCCATTAGGTAATTTTGTTAGCTCTTCCTTCAGAATATACACCCAGTCCCACCATTTTTCACCATTCCAGTTGAATTCACATCATCTTTTATCTTTATTACTCCAACAGCTTTCCAAGTCTCCCCGCTCTTACTCTTGACCTCCTACAAGCTATTCCTCTTACAGTGTTCAAATAGACCCTTTAAAAATGTGAGTCAAATAGGGGCCCCTGGGTGGCTCAGTCGGTTGGGTACCTGACTCTTGATTTCGGCCCAGGTCATGATCTCAGGGTCCTGAAATCGAGCCCCATGTTGGGCTCTGTGCTTGGCAGGGAGTCTGCCTGAGATTCTCTCCCTCTGCACCTCCCTTCCCTTCTGCCCCTCCCCCATTCATATGCTCTATCTTAAAAAAAAAAAAGTGAGTCAAATAGTATCACCCAAAACCCTACACAACTCTCTTTTTCACCCAGATCAAAGCTAAGTTCTTACAGTGAATTTCTTTAGCAGTTTTGCTCTGGCTAGTCCCTCTGCCTAAAATACTTTTTCCTTAATAATCTTCTTAGCTAACTCTATTACCTTCTCAAATTTCATGGCTCCGTGAGAGTGACCCTGTTCCACCCTTTTTGGTTATTTTAACCTTTTACCCCTAACCCCATGCACTCCTGATACTCCTTATCCTTTTTCTTTTTCCACAGTCCTTATCACTTCTAATATAATATGTAATGTATTTATTATATTTGTTGTTTAGTTTCTTGTCTCCCCCTGCTAGGCTGCAAATTCCATAAGGGATTATTTGGTTCACTGATCTATCCTGCTTAGAACACTAAATATTGAATGGATGAATGAATGAATGAGTTGTTATGGTCAATTGAAAGCTCCACTTTACATTATGCAAATTTCTCATTGTTAACCTATTTCAGAAGCTATTACTGAGAAACAGAGGAGTGAGTCACATGCATCTTAATTCTAGGGACTGAATGAAAAAAGGAAAACAAAAGTATTGCTATGACTTGATCCTGAGGAGAGGGAAGAATTTATTTTCTTATTGCCCTGAAGTTTTAAATGAATTAAGTTATCAGATTTTTAAAAAAATTTTGTTTACATGTATGTGTCCTTTCAGGCCTTTCCTACACCTGAGATTATAAACATTATAAACATACTCTTTTATACTTGTTATCATGCTCATATAATTTAGTTTGGCTTTGTTTTTTAAGTTTAAGTTTGGTCTTTACTCCATCTGGAATTTATGATTGTGATTTGTGAGAAGTCGGGAGCTGACATCACTTTTCACAAATGATTAGCCAAGTAGTCCCAAATCATACATATACTTAAGAGTCCAGCCATTCATCACGGGTCTGAATGTGACCTTACTATACAGTCTATTCTTTTTTTTTTTTTTTTAAGATTTTATTTATTAACTTGACAGAGAGAGAGAAAGAGCACAAGCAGGCAGAGTGGCAGGCAGAGAGAGAGGAGAAGCAGGCTCCCCACTTAGCAGAGAGCCCAATATGGGGCTCAATCCCAGGACCCTGGAATCATGAACTGAGTTGAAGGCAGACACTTAACCAACTGAGCCACCCAGGCATCCCTATACAGGGATTCTTTGTTCCTTCTATCTATTTGTCTATTCTGGCACCAATATCAAAGTAATTACTATGACTTTGCAATATATTTTGATTTTCTGGGGATAATCTCTGATCTTAACATTACAACTCACTATTTATTACTAATTTTAGCCTGAATCAAACATATATCCATCCTTCATGTTACATAATTGAACATTTACCATGTGTTGTGCCCTGGAAATAAAAATTGTTGTCTGGCGGCCCCTGGGTGGCTCAGTTAGGCATCCGATTCCTGATTTCGGCTCAGGTCATGGTCTCAGGGTTGTGAAATCAAGTCCCACGTTGGGCTCCATGCTGAGTGTGGAGCTTGCTTAAAATTCTCTCTCTCCCTCTCCTTCTGCCTCTCCTGCCCTCCCCCCAAAAAATTGTTGGCTGAACTCAATTGTCCAAATTTAAATTCAGTGGATTGAGGTCTAAACTGCCTTTTCAGTTGAGCTCTTTGGGAGAAAGGTGATGGCAAAGTTGGTTTTTTCCTCTTAAGTATTGCTTAAGTTGCTGGTATATCCATACATAAGGAAGATCTGCTTTACTAACTTTTTCTGAAATAGTAAAAGTCTACATAGGAATCAGATGTTGAGAGGCTCTAATGAAAAGCCTAAAAATGTGGACAAAGGCTAGGGAATGAGAAAAGCATAATGTAGTATAATATCCTAAATTTACAACTTATTTTCTAGCTTTAGACTGCCATTTAGGTGGCAAATGACTTTTTGCATAAATATTAGGGCAAGGTTTTTCCTCTCCCTGTATTAAACTTTGTTACACACCAAGTCATGCCCAGCGAAGCATCACCACATCCTAGTAAGATCCTGTGTGTATCTGCTCATGAGCACATTTAATTGCATGTTCCTACATCCTCAGATTAGCCTTTTGGCAAAGTTAGCTCACTTCATTTGCAAAGGATATGGGATAACCATGGTCCATTGTTGAACAAAAGGGCATGAAGATCAGCTGGAAATTGCAATCAGGGAGAAGGTTTGAGTGTAATCTATAAAGCTAGGAGTAACACCAGGGAGCCTACCACGTTTACCCAGGTTAAAACAGTTGAATTTTAAAAACTCTTAAATAGGAGGTCTTTAAAACTTTAATACTCCCCCCACACACTAATTAAATGAATTTTGACATCCATTTGTGCATGGTATGTACAATAGTAATATGCAAATATAATTTATTTGAGTATCAAATTGGACCTCCAACCAACAAGTATTTATTAAGCATCTACTATGTTGGGGATAGCGAAGTGAACTAGATAGACCCAGTTCCTTCCCCTAGTCAAGGAACTGCCCCTTCCCAACCAAGTGCTTTATGTCATTGACCAAGAAAGATAAGTGAACAGTCTTTAAACTGTGGAATGACGGGGCGCCTGGGTGGCTCAGATGGTTAAACATCTGCCTTCGGCTCAGGTCATGATCCCAGGGTCCTGGGATCGAGTCCCACATCGGGCTCCCTGCTCCTTGGGAACCTGCTTCTCTCTCTCTCCCTCTCTGTCTCTCATGAATAAATAAATAAAATCTTTAAAAAATAAAAATAAAAAAAATAAACTGTGGAATGACAGAAATCTTTTGTTTACGTAATTATTGACATCCAAGGAAATCTCAGTCTCCTCTGAGGCGGATTATAAATTTCATAATTTCTGCTCTACATATTTTTCTTCTCTCTTTAAACATCAAGTCCAAACATGATCAGCGAGGACTCATGACCTTCCTTGCCAGTCTAACGCTATTTTATATCCCCTTCATTACTCCAGTCAAAAAGCTGTTTAGTTTTAATGTCACACTAGACATTATTGGATGGTCCCTATGATTTTTTTTTTTAAAGGTTTTATTATTTATTTGACAGAGACAGCGAGAGAGGGAACACAAGCAGGGGGAGTGGGAGAGGGAGAAGCAGGCTTCCCGCCGAGCAGGGAGCCCGATGTGGGGCTCAATCCCAGGACCCTGGGATCATGACCTGAGCCGAAGGCAGTTGCTTAACCAACTGAGCCACCCAGGCGCCCCTGGATGGCCCCTATGATTAAGAACTCACCTTAGTGACTAGTTCTCTTATTCACCAGATTCTCCAAAGAGCACAGGCGTCTCTCCCACAGGAAAAGAGTAGTTGGCTACATTTGGGGCTGTCATATGAGAGTGTTTTCCAAAAGATGTCATGTGAGATGGGCCCCAGAGTAGGCATGAGTTGTTAAGATTGGGTTTGGGATTACAAATGCATAGAGAATAAACCAGGACTTCAAGGTCTGAGAGCATAGAAAGAGAAGACCAAACAATGCCTGGGCACTACTGGAACATTATTGTTCCATGTCAACTTCCTAACATCACTAAGGAGGGTTAAATTTG